AATATTTTTTTCGTTGAAGAATATTAGTTTTGAATCATTAGATTATGTGAAAGGCTTTTTTTTCAAACTCAACAAAAGATAAATTGGTTTCTATAGCGATTTTTAAGTGTAACAAAGAGTATATATAAAGAAAAAATTGGTATGGCGTGAAATATTTTTTAAAAAATGTAAATAAATTATTTCGAAAAAACTCTTTACTTTTTTTAATTCAAAGATAATAAAAAGATAAAATATTTTTGAACATTAGTAGAGAGTTTTAAAATTATTATAATAGAAGATATATCATGGATAAACTCAAAAAATCGAAATCTTATGGAATATTTACATAATATCCGGCCATATTTATTGTTTACTTTTTATAGCTAATATAAATAGATGATATACCGACAACACACGATTATACACATATTATATATGGATTATATATAAATTACACATCATTTAATTTTTTAATTTAAGTGGTCAAGTGAGCACCTATTTAGGCTGATTAGATAAATCCAAAAGAAAAATATGAAACAATTTCAACCAAAGACTAAAAATATAATTAAAGTTCATATGTAGACAATTTTTATTAAAACTCATCCTTTTATATTGAAATAAATTAATTTTTTGTAACAAAAGAAATAATGACATAAAAAATAAGATAAAAGAAATAAATATTGAAAAAAATGTTAGAAAGATCTAAAAATGAGAAATAAAAGATGACAACAAATTTCTTCTTATGTTTCATCTTTGTTGAGTATAAAAAATTTGAAAGTTAATCTCATCGATTTTAATTTTTTTTTCCAACTCAAATACATAGATTATAAGATAAGGATATCTTAAATTTTTTTTATTTAAATTATGTGTCGTTTTTAAAAAATTACTATTACTAACAAACTGATATGATATTCAAATTTGAATTGGAATGCAATTTGAGTAGTTTGCATTGAGGTTAAGCCAAGTATAGTGTCAAAAAATAAATTACTTAACAATTTTAAGACAATATATGCAATGTTTTATAATAATAATCAACTAATTTAACATTTGATGATTCAAAGAATAAAATTTTTGTATATATAGGATATTAAAAATTAAAATTTTGGGGCTAGAGATATCGACAGACTTAAAGTGGAGTCATGCTGAAATAAATCCGGCCAAAGAATCATTTAAATTTTTAGATAGCGAATTAAAGTGAAATTTAAATTAAGGATAATATCTTCACTTGCATCATTATAAAGATAATCATTATTATAATATATATAAGTTTTAGAAATTAAAATTTCAAAATAGAAATATTTTTTAAAAGATAAAATCATACCAAATAAGAGTTCAAGTCATAGTATAAGAGTCATGTCGTAATCAAAGAATCATTTATATCGTGTCAACCTTTGTGCTTTGCCATAAATATGAGTTATTATTTCACTATGTGGCTATTTTTAGGTTCCAATGACACCTATGAGAATAGTGCAAAAATAAAATTATCACTACGAGAATTGAGAAAATGTTAGTTTTTTTCATGTAGTGTTTCTTAATTAATATCTGACGATTATCTATAATTATTTAGAAGGTTTAAATGTTAAGGTTATTTACATATAATTCAAATAACTCAGATATTTAACATGGTTAATGTCAAATGTCAAAATGGAGTAAAACAAATTCACTAGCTAAATAATTTTTTATAAATAGCCAACTAAAATGAGTTTTGAATTAAGAATAATATTTTCAATTACATTATTATAAAAATAGTTATTATTGAAAAATAATATTTTAGAAACTGAAATTTTAAGAAAGAAATATTTTTTAAGAGATATCAACACACCAAATAAGAGTTCAAGTAGTAGTAAAAGAGTTAAATCTTATCCAAAGAGTAATTCATTGTCTCAAAATTTGATTGTTTTGCCATAAATATGAGTTATTATTTTGCTTCCTGACTATTTTTAGGATCCAATGACACCGGCAAGAATGGTATTAAAAAAAAATAGAATAAATGGTTAATTTTTTTCATGTAGTTAATATTCAATCATTATCTATATTTACTTAAGAAAGTGTAAATTTTAAGATTATTTACATACAATCCAAATAACTTCAATATTTTATATGATTAATGTCCGCGCATCTGCGCGGGTACTAATACTAGTTTTACCAGGAAAGGAATGAATAAACAACCAAATCCAGTGATGATGTTTGTCCAAGTGCTATCTACTTCTCCCATTCAAAGCCTATATACATTTGAGATGCTTCTGAAGCCAACGGTTTACTTTACAGTGTCTAGAAAAAGCTCAATTATGCAGACACTCATCATTTCCTTTTCTCCAACAGTGTTTATAACTCATTCTTCATTATTATTTCAACTTCAAAATATATATCAGTTGTGATGCAGCGGTTTTAAGGAAAAAAATATTGAGAACTCATCTTACCTTTGCACATTCATTTGGCAATATTTGGGCATGGATGACCACAATCTGAAAGAGACTTCAGCTTGAATCTGACCGAGAAATTGGCTCATTATCTTCCCACATCTGAATTGCTTCTGGTAGAAAAGGTTCACATTTCCCATCCCTTTAACGAGAAAAAGCTCCTCAAATAAGAATACAAATGAAATATCAAGGTCACAGACTGAGGACATACGATACGTGAAGCCATTCTCCAGTCGAAACTTGTACCAACCTGAAGTGCTCATATCCATCAATCGCCTGATTACAGCGATAAGCAGAAATATTGTCCACAGTTATTGGACACCACTTATTGCAGCCCTCAATTCGCGAGATAGCCATTTAACAGGAAGGGCATTTCCCGCATGCTGAGAATCTCAATGATCATTTCTTTCTCACAGTGCATTTGGTCATCTTTCAGTTGAGATGAATTTTGTCGCTCCTGATGCAAAAGATTAAGAACATGAAGATATAAACGTCAAAGTACCTTCCAAACAGACAAGTTACGGGAGCAGAATAACAATAGCCTCAAGTGCAGAAACTGCGGCATACAAGTAAGCCACCTCAAGTAGAGAAAAGTCTAGCACTTAATTGACAACAGGCTCATACAAATAAAGACAACCAACTTATCACTTGATCAACAACAGCCTCATACAATTAAAGCCAACCACCTTATCAAGAAAAAGAATACAAATAAAGCCAAACCAAGTAGATGAGTTTTGTTTTTAGCGAAATTCTCAAAACAGTTCCCCAACCTTAATATACTAGGTCAAGCACAAGCTGTAACAAATTTATGTATTGAACATCAAAGCAAAAAAAGCAGCATTCCTATAGGACAGGTGGTCCACAACACCATCTTGATTGTTCTCGATAAAGTCTAAAAATTCCAAAAGTGATGTAATGGCATACATATCGCTTACGGGATCGTCACTATCAAATTAATAGCATCAACTAATCATTTGGTCAGCTACTTACATACTGAAATTGTGGTTGAACTACAGGGTAATTAGAGCGGTCAAACACTTTGTTGTGGTATGTCGCAGCCTCACTAGATCTTTGCCTGAGTAACATAAAACATAGCACACGCAATCCACATCCGACCATTAGGTTGGGGTTCAAATCACCAATGGAGCAAGCGGGAAAGCCACAGTTGGTCCGGGGGAAGAGGGGGGAAGGGGGGGGAGGGGAAGGTTCTGGGGTTTCCATGTCAAAAGCATAAAAATATACAACACTCCCAAATACTAGTTATACATCCGCTAGAAACCACAACCACGGTGTTCCTTTGCAGCATCCTTTAAAAGGTATGTTATTACACTCAAACCTGAGGGAAGGTTCTGGGGTTTCCATGTCAAAAGCATAAAAATATACAACACTCCCAAATACTAGTTATACATCCGCTAGAAACCACAACCACAGTGTTCTTTTGCAGCATCCTTTAAAACGTATGTTATTACACTCAAACATGACCATGAGGTGTATATGTCAAGTGATGGTGTCAGAACCACAGCTTCTAATAACCAATATTTTGGGGTATGTGCAGACATCCAAGAACAACCATATGTTCGAATAGATTTATTAGATCACTATATCTTGGTAATTATCACAGTAATTCATATAAATGAAGAGTGATTGGAGTCTAAATCTAAAAAAAGGAAAAGAAAACAAGAACAACTTCACTAGCTTTGATGCAGCCTACAATAAACTAGACCCTTCCAAGGAGATAACTAGTATAACTGATTCAATAATTTCAGTTTTTTTCTCAATATGAGGACAAATTCTCTTTCTGTTAAAAAGAATAAAGGTATCATGCACTTAAGCTGAAAAATAAAAAGCCACGAAGTAAAAAGCTGAGCATGGACAGCAACACTTATACACTATATAGCAAATTCAAAAAGTACGAATAGAAAACATTAACATAAGGAGATTATACATTATTTCTCATGTTAAGAATACAATAACATCTACTATCAAAGATAACGAGCGACAACAAAATCAAAACTAAGAAGTAATTTACCTTATTAATAATCTATCAAGAAAAAATAATTTACCTCCTCAATAGGTTTGTCTGGAAAGCTCAAGTAATGCTCCAATTGTCATATTTTCAGTTTCCCCAATTGCGTTGCACGCGACTTCATTTCCAGAGGAAAAGAAAAAGAAAAAAACATTCACTCTATAACTAATGTAATTGAATTAACCAAGCAAAATAGATAATAACTTCTTGTTTTCTGGGATAAAATCTGATATCAAGTCAAGCAAAGAAGAATCCTCCGCTATAATGTCTACCAGTCGAGTTACTGTAGTTGAGTCGAATGAGAAGCTCTTTCCATTCATTTCCTTTAAGAAAGCCTTCATTTCACTAATTTTATTACTTCTGAGAAATCCTTGCACAATAACATTGTAAGTTACACTGTTTGGCAAACAACCATTCTCCTCCATCTTTCTTAGCAGACCTTTAGCTTCATCTAACAACCCTTCTAGACAAAATCCATTAATCATAATAGTGTATGTTATCACGTCAGGATGTAAACCTATTAGAGAAAGATTCTTAAAAACATCATGAGCTTTGTCGAACTTTCTATTTTTGCACAATCCATCAATGACGGCATTATAGAGGTCAACATTAGTATCTTCTCTTTTTCTTTCCAACTTATAAAATAGTAACATAGCTTCGTCAACAAGTCCATTCTTAAAATAACCATCAAGCAAAATGCAATAAGTGATTGGACCAGGTATTATCCTTGCAGATAGCATCTCATCAAAATATTTTTGCGCTGCCCCAATTCTTCCAACTTCAAATAGACCTTTCAAGATAGTATTGCAGGTAAAAATATCAGGTTCAAATCCCTTTTGAGAAATTTCAAGAAACAAATGCATGGCCTCATCCAATTTCTTTTTCTTACAATATCCACTTATTAATATTGCATAGCTAATATTGTCCGGCTCAATGCTTTTATCTTTCATGGAACCAAAGATTCTCCTACATCTATCCATTTGACCACGCAAGCAATATCCATCCATTATCACATTGTAAGTAACCACATTAGGCTCTACACCTTTTTCGATCATCTGTCTCATTACTTTTTCGGCATCTTTAACCCTCCCTTCTATGCATAGTCCATTTATAACTGTGTTGAATGTGAATATATCCGGATAAATATTATGATTTACCATTTCAAAGAACAAATTCCTGACCTTTTCCCACTGACTAAACTTAGAGAAACCATCAATCAACGAATTATATGTGAATAAGTCCGGAGGAATGCCTTTCAGTTTCATCTCGCTCAAAAGGTCGACAGCGACATCCAGATTTCCATTTTTGCAAAGGGCATCTATAACAACGTTGTAGATGCATGTAGTGGGCTTAGTGCTCCCTTGTTCCATTAGCCGGAGCAAACCAAAAGTCTTCTCAATATGACCCCTTTTACCGAGCCCATTCATTACAGTTGCATACATGACTTCGTTAGGCTCACAAATATTCTCTCTCATTAACTTTTTAAACAAGTTAACTGCATCTTTAACCTTGTTTTCAGCAAAGAGTCCCCTTATTAGGATGGTTAAAGTGACAACATCAAATGGAATCCCACACTTTGAGTAAATGGCTAACATTGAAAATCCACAATCAACACGATGCATTAGGCAATAACTGTTAGTCACCATACTCAACATGACTTTATCAATCGGGATACCTAATTTCTGCATTTCTCCAAAATTAGAAACAACAACAGAATAATGCTTCATATTTATCATAATCTTAAATAATTTCGAAAAGTCCATAACAGAGGGAAGAGGCTGTGTTCTGACCATTTGATTGAAGAGATTCACAGCATCATCTAAACATTTGATATTCTCAAACTTGTTAGTAAACCTATGTTTTTTACTACGACCATTTATGGAAATGGGTGTATTGCTATGATATGAAGAGTAATATCTGGTTGTAATTGCCATAGCAGAATAGGAAATAGTGAAGGATGAGATAAAGGAAATACCATTAAGAGAATAACGTAGAGAAATTCTCGTCATCTTCAAGGAATTTCCCCAAATTTGCGAATAATTAGTGAATTGGTGTGCTTTTTCGTCGTGCCCTAATTTTGTAGGAAACTTGTTTTATGAGTCCTATTGAATTAATTTTGGAAATCTTACATAAATGCCCAAAAAAAGTCGTGTAAGTTATCTTTAACCATTTCTCGTAGATTTGTCAAAATTAATCAAACACATATAAAAATTGAAAATCGAAAGAAATAAGGTTCTTTCTCCAAAAATTATACACAAAAATCTCCTTCCATATTTTTAAGTGCGCTTAGCAATATTAAATGTTAGACGGAAAAGAAATTTCATAAATGAGGTAACAAATAAGGTGATGAAACACAAATATATATATATATATATACAATATTCTAAATATTTAAGCAAAAATGGACTTTTTCAGTGGGTATGGTTGAGATTCATTGAAAATATATAGATGAGTCAATATACACAGTTTGAGTGGGATTGGAGGTGATTTGGACAGATTTGGCATCGAAATTCGTAGTTAAAAAAATTCTTCTGCGACACATGTAGCTGTGAACACCTAATTTTTTACAACATTTAATTTTTTATCACTTCTTTTATGTAAATATTTTAGGGGGTTTTAACCTACTATTATTTTAGCTTTATTACACTTTTTATTATAGGATAAAAATACCAAAAAAATTAAAAGGTGAATTATCACTATTAATATTTTTTTTATTATTTTTTGTTTTTTTATATAAAAAATCCGAAAATATTTTTTTTATTTTTTTAAAAAAAAACAATTTCGGGAATGATTTATAAAATAAGAAAATGGAAGTATTGAATAAAAAAAATATATAAAAGTAAAAATAGGTGGAATTCTCTGTTAAAAAAAGTAAAAGAATGTAGAAAATTTTAAAAAATAAAAAGTTATATGGAAATATTAAAAAAAATAAAAATTAAAAGAAGGTTGGAATTAAAAAATAAATATAAAGGTATCTGAAAATTTAAAAAAATTAAAGTAATTGAAAGTAACATTTTTAAAAGAAAAAGAAAAGATAGTGGTTTGTTTTTTTAAAGAAAAGTTAAATAAAGTGAGATTCTCTTTTAAAAAAATAAAAAGTGGGATTTTAAATAAGATAAAGTAATTAAAGTTGGAATTTTAAAAATAAAAGTAAATAAAGGTGGGATTTCTTTTTCTAAAAAAATAAAAGCAATTTGTAAGTGGAATTTCTTTTAATTAAAAAAAACAAATCTGAAAATTTCGAAAATTTTGCTATAAATAGAAGAGAAAATTTAGGAAGAAATGAGTTCAAAAAAGAGGAAAAACTAGATGGAGAGAAGAAAAAAAGAGGGGGCGGAGAGAGCGGTATACACTCGATATACACTCTGGATACACTGGATATACAGAGACATAATTCATTTTGGAGAGGGGTTAAACATTTTTTCTGAAAATCTTAAGAGAGTGCTGGAGAGTTTAAAAAGAGAAAATAAAAACAAAGTAGTCTACGAGTTTAGTTTTGGGTTTAACACACGCGTGGTTGAGTCTGTTTGTGGTGATGTTGGTTGTTGCGGTTTAGTCTTTTATAAACTTTTGGGGTTGTTCTATTGAGCTTGTTTGATTTTCTTCAAATTTTCCCGGGCCTCGAATCTGGTTTGAATTGTTGTTGTTGGGTTGTTGTTGTTTTGTTGTCTTGCCGTGTTATTACTGTTGCTGACTACTCTTTCATCTTCTTGTATTGCCATTTCCAGGTACACAACTGTAACCTTGGTCATTTGTAAGCCGAAAACATAAGCATGAATATACATGAAGATTTGAAGCTTTAAGTTTAATCTAGCTTTTCTACTGATTTGTATATTAGGATATCTCATTCATTAATATCATGCAAATGCTTGCGGAATGTATAAACTGGACTGTTGAATCTATTTCTACAAACATGTGAATAATGTTAGTAACTAATATTCTCGAATGTTAATGATTGATGTTAGTCTAATGTCGGGTTTTTAATCATTGACGCATTTCTTCGATAAGTTGTAAAAAGAGTAAAAAAATGGCTTTGTATTACACATAGTCAATTCCAATAGTTCAAGTCATCTAATAATGTTAGTTTAAATTAATCAAAGAGTAGTTGGTTTGTTTTGATATTACCGGGTGTCAATCTCGTGTTCTATTCATAATCTCAACTTTAGTGTTATTAACTAATAGAATAAGGAACGAAATAATCTCCCTTTGTACAAGCTCGATTACAATTTCCCATTTGCATTTGTCCTAGACTAATAACTAATAAGTCACGTCCCTTTTTTAAGCATGTAATTAATTTGGAGATTTTCTTTTAGAGACAAACTTAATAAAAATGTAGTCACTTTAGGATTGTCCTTTTAAAATAAATGAGATGAGTCTCGCTGGATAAACACATAAATGGTGGGGCCCTCGTTAAATATATGTATTAAATACTTAGATTCCGGGACGGACCGTTTAGCAAATTCCACGGCCCTACCCAAAATAATGATACGCTAGTCGCTTTAGTCGTATTTAATAATGTTATCTTTTTAAACTCGGGTGCACATTTATGTGACCCAAATCCAAATCTCAACGAAGTTGGGACGTATCAAAAATTGCGGGTACATTTATGTGGCGCAATTCGAGATGCATTCTCATGACGTTACAATTCTTTGAATAAATAATAACAAAGCGGTAAACAGTTAAAATTTGCGCGTAGGTTCATAATTGTATAAAATCAGTTAATCAAGCCGAATATGACAGTTGAGCGACCGTACTAGAACCACGGAACTCGGGAATGCCTAACACCTTCTCCCGGGTTAACAGAATTCCTTATCTGGATTTCTGGTGCGCAGGCTGTTAAACAGAGTCATTCTTTTACTCGATTCAGGATACAACACGTGACTTGGGACACCATAAATATCCCAAGTGGCGACTCTGAAATAAATAAATAAATCCCGTTTCGATTGTCCTTTAATTGGAAAAAACTCCCTTCCGCGCCCCTTTGAGGTTGGCACGGGCGAAAAAGGAGGTGTGACAGCTCTGGCGACTCTGCTGGGGATTGGACCTAGAATCTCTGGTTCAGGGTTCAGAATTCGAGCTTAGATGAATTGTTATATTTGACTTTATTTATTATTTGATCTTATTACATGTTTTGGCCTAAATGTGCAAAATGATGTTTTTTTTACCGTTTTGATATTATTTGAACTGTACATATAAACTGTGCCGAAACTTTCTCTTCTCACCTCCGGGGATGTGCTTACTGGTTGAAACTCCCTATTCTGTTAGTGTCATACCCTGAAATAAAAGAGGCTCGGAAAGTTTCTAAGTCGGGCTGGCCTTTTGGTTCCCGGAAAGGAGCTCCTTCCTCAACTCGAGTTGTCCGCTCGGGTATACTGTCTAGAACATATACCCAGGTTGAACCTATAATAACTTGACTTCATGCCGGATCCCTAGTAAGAACGTTTATTTGCATCATATTGCATTTGACTTAGGGGACTCAACACAGGGGTTGGGTCCGTCTAGGACAAGCAACCTGAAATGAAAAAAGACCATTGCTGCATCATGTTTGTTTTGCACATTTATTTGCTTCAGATCTGCATGCAGGCTTCTGAAATCGGGAATTTTTGAAAAAATATGGAAAAAAAAAAAGAGAAAAAGAAAAATAGCTGTGTAGGGAGATAACTACTTATTTTTAGAAAAATAAAACCAATGTCCAATGAGTGTCAAAACCCTGCCAAAATTTTGAAAATGATAAAAAAAATTATTTTTTTTAGTTTGATTTATTTGAAAAACAAAATAAAAGAGTCTTGTTTACAAGTTTAGTTTATGTCGGCGAACTACGCTGGTTTGATTCTCACCGATGTGAGATACGTAGGCAGCCCTAATAGGGTCCAACCTCCCCTTTTTGCTAAAATAGCCACACCATGTCAAAATTTTAATTTTTGTCATAAATAAGTCGGGTGATGTCCAACCTCTCCTTTGCAAAAATTGCCAAAAAAAATGTCGAATTTTGTCATAAATAAGTCGGGTGATGTCCAACCTCTCCTTTGCAAAAATTGCCAAAAAAAATGTCGAATTTTGTCATAAATAAGTCGGGTAATGCCGCTCATGTCAAATATAGCCAAGTTTCCCCAAATGGGACGTCGGAAGGCTGGCTTTGCATAAACGGCCACATTTGGTCATTCTTTTAGAATTTTGACCGGTTATCCACACAGCCTTAAATTCTTCGTCCTTGAGGCGCTAAAAAAGGTTGTGTTTACCGGATCTTTCATTTTGATTTGAAAAATAGAAAAAAAATCATAAAGACGTCGGGTGACGCCGTTTTTGTCAAAATAAGCCAAATGTTCTCAAACGGGACGTCGGAAGGCTGATTTTGCATAAACAGCCACCTTTGGTTATGTTTGATTTTTGACCCTCACAACCTTAAAATCTTCGTCCCTGAGGCGCTGAAAGGCCGTGTTTGCAATACCAGGTCTTTTATTCTAATTTAAAAAAAAACAAGAAAAGAGTCATAAAAAGTTGGGTCACGCCGTTTTGTCAAAAATAGCCGAATATTCTCGAAAGGGACGCCGGAAGGCTGACTTTGCATAAACGACCATCTTTGGTCATTCTTTTGGATTGTGACCAGTTATCTCGCACAACCTTAAAATCTTCGTCTCCGAAGTGCTGAAAGGTCGTGTTTGCAAAACCAGGTCTTTTATTATTTGAAAAACAAGAAAATAGTCAGTGGTCAAGTGAATACCGTTTGGTTTTTAGTTAAAATAAGCCGGCCCGGCTTCGGTGATGTCTTAAAACCGTTCTTGCCGAGATAGCCTTAGAATATCTTTTAGTTGTCGAATGGCTATTTTCGTAAAAGAACGAACAAGTTTGTGAAAGGTCGTAAAATAATCCTTCCCGGCCTTAAAATTCATGTGAAATTGAGAAGGGGCCACGTCTGAAAAATAACCATTTGGTTAAAATTGGCATATAGGGGAAGGAATCTGGCTGTTTGTTTTTTAGTTTGTAATTCTTTGATTAGAGCATGCGGGTTATTTGATTTTCGAGACCGTTTGTTGTCTTTTGTCAAAGTCTGTTAGTATGGTCAGTTTTTTAAAACTTTTGTAATCAAATTTGTTTTATTA